TAACAGCTAATCAGAATAACTACGGTTGGTACATTTCTCATGTCCATCCGTCGAGTTCAGTGCTGGTGTCCTTAATTCGACTTCATCACCCCAAATGGAAAAGGAGCTCAGTACAAAATCGAGCCCCACACGGTCTATCCAGATGCCGAGCTGATGATTGGCCGCTCCGATTTCGGGGTCTGCAGCTAAGCTTGGGCAGTTCAGGTTCATCAGATCCGCTGCAGCATGGAGAGGCAACCTACACGACACTGTCGAGATTGGCTGGATCATGCATGATCGTGGTTGCCTTGAGCAACATTAAGTAGCAAGAACGAAAACAAAAATAACATTCCATGTAGCAACAAAGTCACACGGATCAATACCACGGCGTCACTTTTTACTGGGTTTTTGGGACAAATTATACTGCTCTAACACCACGTAGATAAAGATAAAAGCTAAAATGGGTAAACGACTTACCTTGAGAATGTTATCCGCGTACTTTACGACCAAGGCCACAACTATACCGCCGCCCGACTGCAATAAAATAACAACCCACACCAGCCAATCAAATCCGTAGAAGAATCCCTTGCTGCGGAGAACATCACTCTCAGTCATCAGTTGGCCAGAACTGGCAAATACTACGGATATGAGGGCCAGTTCAAAATTGCGCTCCCAGAGGGATTTTGTTGACTGTTTCAGAATCTGTGAAAATCCAAAAAAGTGCACTGATTAAGTCGACTAACAATCAGAGGGAACGAAGGCTGGGATAGCAGACACAAGTACGCCTCTAAGCAATATTTCACCCTGAATCAAACTATCGAACGCATATGTCAAAATTTTGACGCACAACAGTCCGAACATCGCTTCCTACAACGTCTACCGTGCGCCAGACAGTAAGGTAGGCGCAGGTATGGCAACTGTTGCGTGATTTAAGAGTGATATTAGATTTGCACCGCATCTACCACACTCTTTCCTCTTTTCTCACCTGGGCCCGGAGGCGGAGGCTCAGGTGGCTGCGACGGCGGGAAGATGCATCTAGGCGTGCCAGCAAACCTTCACATGTGCCCTGCTTTGATCTAACCAATCCCCGTGCTGGTCCAGCGCATCCACCGCGTAGCCTGCTGAGGAATTCCGGACGCCGACTAAGTGACTACGCTTATGCTAACAATATCACCTGACTACAGCCAAGCTATTATGATCTGCCGCATACAATACCGCGGATAAAAGAGGTCAAGAGTTCAATCGGTTTGTCTATCAATTATGCGAAAACTCAGGCACCCAACTGCACCTATGCCAGGAGATAACCCTCGTGGTTAATCTTTCTCAGCCTCGAAAGTGGACAATTTAAAACATTTTGGGACCAAGCTGTTGTCAAGAAGATATTAGTGAGGCGATATCATCGGCGTAGTCAAAATCAGTCAGCCAACAAACGCGCGCAAGCTCAATACCGCCCTCTTCACGTAGGGCCTTCCCGAGAATCGAGTCAATGGCATAGTTGAATAGAATGGGCAACAGAACATGGGCTAGAACCCGCGCAATAGTGTACTTACTTGTACTCGTTACGGCTGTGATCATGCCTGATCTAGCCGGCCTCA